CATACATACATACATACATACATACATACATACATACATACATACATACATGTGTGTAGCAATCTGTTAATCATCCTTCTAAGTTTTCAGAAGTAGCTTCTGTTTAGTTCTGTGGAGACCTCCTCAGTACTGAACTCAACTCTTGTCCTAAGTCTCATCTGGGCCCATCAACAGCCATTTCCACGTTTTGAAATTATACAGAAATCTTCTTCTAGTTCCTACGACCTGTTGATTACAAATGTCACTGATTCTGATAAAAGCTACTACTACTGTAGAACTAATAAGAAGAAAGAGGGAAAAAATGGAAAGAGAGACAGGTACAGCAACGTCACAACAAGGCTCACAATCAGTATGTACGTTTTCCCTAAATGAACTACCCTGTACTTTTACCAGGTTTACCTGTATACTGTACTTAACACTGTATAATACTTTGTCCAGATATGAAAACATGATGTTGGCAAAATATTGTGTGTAAAACTTTCAATGGACCAAAATAAAAATCCATTCTTGCTCCTGTTTTAAAACTTGTCTCTTGAAAAAAAACTATGCTTGTGGAAAGAGCACAAAAATCTCTCATACACATTAATACCATATCAATGTACTAAGGAGAAACCGAAAAAAACTTACAGATTACACTAGGAGATATTTACAGGTACAGCAACATACCAACAAGGGTCACCATCAGTAAGTCATTTTTAAATGTTATTTCACTATCTTAATGTGCAATGAATTGAACCATCTAATAATATTCTCACAGTTCATCTCCACCATTCTTACTTTCCATTTTCCTCCTAAATAAATCATTGTGCTTGGTTTGAGTATTTTCAGGTTTTTCACTCCTAAACCTTACTAAATTTCTTATGTCGAGAGACTTATCGCAAAGATAATTTCTTTTGTGCATTCGGGTGTTGTTTTTTTGTTAAATTTTATTTTTACAACAATTGTATAAAATGAAGTCCCATGCTATGATAACATACCCCCTGATGGAAGTCAAGCAAAGTGTGCTGAACTAACCAGAGAATCTAGCGTCTTTCTATAGTCCTGCATCTCCAATTTCCACACCGTTGATCACCGTCAAACAGTTTTTCCACAATCAAATTGCCTTTTAGGATGAAGATGACTGTTTAAGAAGAGTTGTGTTCCGACCTAGAAGACTAAAAGTTCAGCGCACAGTTACAGGTTTGTGGTTTAAAGGAGAATTGTCTTTTTTTTTTTGGTCAGGTTTGGGAACTCAAAGCAGGACTCGGGCGCAGAGAGGTGGTACAAAAAAAAGGTTTTATTGAACCAAAAGCGCACTCTCAAAGAGTGGAAACAAAGTACAAAAACAAGATTAACAAGACTGTGAACAAAGTATCAAAATATAATCACTCTAATGAGGAAGACAATGCTGTGAACAAAGTATCAAATAAAGCAAACAAGACTATGAGCTAAGTATTAAATCAAAATCACTTAAGAACGAGGACAAAAAGGGCGAGTCACAAAGTAACAAAATAATACTCACTAGGATGAAAAAAACACTAGGAGAAATCACTCATGAGAGGGAAAATGGGATCAAGGCAAGGACTATGATTCAAGGACTAGAAGGCTGCAGGTCGTAGGACAGAACACACTGGCACAAGACAAGGGGAAACGAGGACTATTTGAAAACATGAGGGAAAGGAACCCCAGGTGTACACAATAGGTAATCAAGGAAGACAAGCAGACATGTGACACACAGGGGAGTACAAGTGGCCTAAAACAAGGGGATGTATCTTTCAAAATAAAACAGGAAATGACAAGACAACCATGGAGACAGGACAAAACACCAAAAATTCCCCCAGACCTGACACTTTTGATTATTTCAATAGTTTGTTGGTACCCTTTTGTGATGAGTAGTTGACTGTTGACTGACTGCTCTTCCTCTCTGCAGCCTCTTAAAATATGCTCTCTCCTCTGCTATCATGGTTTAGTTCCACTTAAGTTGATCATATTGTTTTTGTAATTCATTCAAAAAATTAAATTCAAGCTCCAACAGATGTATAAAATTGCTGGCATTTAATTTTTCCCATCAACTGTGACATATTTAACTTTCTGTGATATTAAAGCGTTGAACTTTGTTGATGTATGCAAGGATTATTCATTTCTAAAAGGTTAGATGCTGGGTAACATTCCAGATTCCTAGAATCTGCTGTATTTATGGCTGTGCTGCAGTCATACTTTTTGGAACACGTTAGAGGAACTTTTGATAATACATATCAATGAAATTAATATCATATAGTTTGTATTGACTCTGCTCTGATATTCTATTATTTCATTCTTGTTTCAGTGGTTAAAATTGTACCGAAGTGGGAAAAGCACATCTCTGTGCCAAACGACTCCATTTCCATGACTCCAATCACCAAGATATACTGTAACTATCTTTTAAGATGCTGTACTCACCGTCTCAGCTATACTCATGTAAGCATATTTTAAGCATGTTTATATTGGATACATTTGCTTTTCTTAGGTGTACAAATCTACATATGGCTTCAATGCATCAGTGTTGAACGCAAAAAAAAAAACATTGGTCATTTGCGAAGCTTCATATTTAGAAGAGGTTGCTAAGTTTTATGTAATGTTTTCTCCTTGATCTTCAAAGCTCAGCCTTCTTAATCTTTAGCCCAATGCTCAAAGTGATGCAAAAAAAACAAAAAAGAAACACCCACGGGGGAAAATTCTGTTTAACCAGCCAATCAAAAGCAACCTCTCCTTGAATAGAAAAGACTGCATCACAACTTCTGGTTGTGAAACCTGTGCTCCATGTCATCATGGATGGACTTCACATCACCGCTGTGATTCTGCTGGGTAATTTGACATTTTTTGGGAGATCAAACTGTAATTTTACCACTATTGTCGCACTGGCTGGTGTTGTAGTTCTTTTTTCCAAACACATAACTTTTTGTTCATTTTTCATTTCAGGAGTTTTTTCCAGCAGCTTTGGTCAGACTTTTGTGTCAGAAAAGGAGGTGACAGCAAACCCTGGAGACAATGTAACCCTTCACTGTGATTGTAAATTGTCAACAGGTGTACTCACAGTGTGGTTCAGGAACTGTTCCCATGAGAACCAGCCAACATTTGTTCTTAGACCTGGATTTCATGAGATAAATAATTTCAATTACCGTCTCTTTCCCTCTCGATTTGACTTTGTAAAGAACCTTTCCTCTAACTCTTATGACCTGCTGATCACAAATGTCTCTCATTCTGATGAAGGCATTTACTACTGTGGAAATTCTCAAATGAAAGTGGAGCAAAAAGAAAAGATTACTGGGAAAAATACTTACACATTCAGCAACAAGACAACGAGACTCACCATCAGTAAGTACTTTTGTCTAAATTAACTACCGGTGACTAATCATATTTTCCCATGTAATTTTAATCATATATTACAATGCCTGCCATAATAATCATCTAAATCATTGTTACAGAGTTTTGAAGCTATTATTATCATGTGTAAAACCCTTAATGGGAAAAGAATCAATGAAAAGATCTGTTAGATTTTAAATGTTGTTTGAACACTGTAGACTAATTCAATTCGCAAATATTATACATTGGATTTTAAAATTATGGACGTAACTGCTTTCGATGAGGACATTTACTACTATGGAACTGAAAAGATGAAGGTGGAGGAAGAACAAAAACAAGTTTGACCCAGGCATATTTACACTTATAGCAATGTTTCAATGAAGCTTGTGTTAGGTGAGTACTTCGGTCACATACGAGAATGTGATTGCAGCAATAGCAAATAACATGTATTCAAATTAATAAATACAAGCGGGCACCACTCTTTCTGTGATTCTAAATTCATATTAAGATTATTGCACATGGCAATTAAGTCCCGTCTGATATCCATATCCAGTTATTATTTGAAATACCAAATTCTGAAATCCACTACAAAACCACTCTCTCATTCCAAAGAAGTAATCAGCCACACGTTTTAACCTGAAATCTTTCTCTTGATAATGAACAGAGGCCAAACTATTGTTAACTACAGTGATATATTTTGGATTTGTTAGTTTGTATGTGGCATCCATCAGTTTTTTTGCCGTATGAACGCAATACCCTCAAATCAGTTTACTGAGTTATGCTGAGGTTTAACAATCGAGGCTCAAGAAAAACAAATATAAAAATCAATTAAACACTGCAGGCAACTTGCAGAATAATGTTTGTGGATCTAATTTAGAGATTTACACCCAGATCACATCCAAAGCAGACTTTAAGTAATTATTCACAGGCTATATCAGGCCGCCAATTGTCTGTTGATTATGAGGGGGTCGGTTTGGGGCAAAAATCACAATACGCATATTCTCAGCAGAATAGAAACATGTAAAAAATACAAACTTTTAATGTTTTATTCCTGCATAAAATCTAATTCTGCCAACATCTCATCAGATTACGTAAGATAATATCTCTTGAGTAACTGACATCCAGTTGAATAAGGCAGCTGTAAATGTGGATACGATTGTCTGTTATACTTTTACAACTAACAAGACTTTGCGTTTCAGTATTTACAACATGTCTGGTTTCTATCCAGGATCCGATCCAAACTGGACTCCGCAGGACTGCAGCCTTTGCTGGATGTTACTCTTGTCTTTGTGTCCAGCTGTTTCTGTCGTCTCGGCTCTCCTCTCTCTTTTAGTTTGCCGGCTTTGCCAGGAAACAGGTACCCCGTTTTAAACACTTGTCTCTTCCTGTGATCGCTCCTGCTTGGCATGTTGTGACTGGCGTTATGGTGTCCTAAATCACTGGAATTTTCATTTTTCCCAGCTACTAAACCTCGAAATGACGAAAAAAGACGCGGCGTGATCAGTCCAACAAGAGGAGCACAGGTGAGTGACAGAAGTGCGTCTGTGATGGTTTGTACCAGATGGATAGAGTTTGCTCATCATGTGATGTATGTTATCAGTATGTCTTTCTAACTCATTAACTCATTAAATCATCTATTCATAACTGTCAATTCACAGGACCAAGACATGTGTTGTGCTGCCCTGGAAATCCATCAAGCCTCACAATGGATGAGAAAAAGTCCAAGGTCCGATTTCTCCACATATTCTGCCATCAAATACACCCTGGTTGTGGACGATTTGCATTTCGATTGAGATGCAGGGACACATTAATTAGAAATGCCGGCTTTCTTTCGCTCAAGCATACCAATCGGATGAGAAATGTTTACCCTATTCTTTCACCATTGTAGAGGTTTTCAGACTACATTTGATACAATAATATTTGTTTCTGCTTCTTTTGCGAGGAGACAAATCATGAAGAATAAAAATATTAAGATTGTCATTGGGGAACACTTAAATAGTTGCTGTTGAGAGGTTTTGATTTTGGTGAATTTTCTTTTTGTGAATAAATGATTCCACTTTCAAATCTTGCGACTTTCTTTTATTCCTATTTCTACAAAAAAAAAAAAAACATTTGTAATATCTGCTTTGCTTCTTTCACTTAAGTACCTGATGAAAGATTTGCGTTGTTCAGACTTTAAGAAGATGGTTGTGCACTTTGGCAATTTCCTGTTGTTCTTATCTTAAGAATAAACCGCACTAGCATTGGGGCCTGGTTTTGAAACAGTGACAGGACAATTGTCTGCTGCAAGGCCTTGACCACATTTTGTTGGCCCCATTTAAAACAGGAAAACCACACCAACTGCAGTCATGTGACTGCCTGCTGTGATGAGCATTTCAAGATGCCAAATAGCGCCATTTTTGTTAAAGCCCCTGCCATTTTTGACAACGCAAACACTGTCAATCTGCTCTCCTGAGTTCTGCGAGTGACAAGTTCTCAGTTTAGGAACTAAATCTGTCTGGTTAGGTTTATTGGGGTAGTTATTAAGATCCATTGTGTTGGTGCTTGTTTTACCGGGTAAATCGAAACTAACATATATCATCCCACCCTGACAAATAACATGAACATGTCGTCTTGTGAAAGACACAGAGACATGAACAGTTTTGGCAACACATGCCATCAAATCCCATCCCATTCTTTGCACTGAATCTCCGGGCTTGTTCCTGGTAAGAGTTAGTCCTAACAAAGGATTTGAGATTTCTTTGAAGGCACTCTCAAAGTTTGGGGAATTTTCCAGTTTCACTTGTGCAATTCCCTTCTTAGATTGTTATTTATTTGTGGCTCTCATTAATCAGCTGATTTGTAATACCACTGGATATTGACACCCGTAAGATGGGAAAATTATACCAGTTAACCTCTAAAAATGTGATCTGTAACTGGACAGGTTCCTTATCCACCGTGACCCTGAGAAGAATTTAAAGGGGAGAGGAAATTAAAAGACCTTTCTACTTATTTGCATTTGAGTCAAACAACCAAACCTGAAAATACCAGTTATAAACTTATTATAGACTTTTTCAAGCTACGCCAAGTGAGAAAAAGTTGGAAATTAAGGCCGATTTTGAAAAAAAAAAAGGAAAACTATTGACATGCAATGTCTTTTATGTATCTTTTGACTTTTATTCGAAACTCGTTGTATGATGGTGTTATTCATAATTGTTAGTCATCTGTTTCTTCTTGGGTTTTTTTCCCCAGATTTTTCTGTTGATATCAAAAGGGGCCAGTGGAAATCCTTTTTTTCCTCAAATTTTAACTCTCCAAACAGGATGATAACATAATGATCTAAAGGACACTTTTATAATTATAATAAAAACAGTCAGTGTCTTCATAATAATAGTAATAACAAAAACTTATTTGTGAATGCGTTCATCTTAAATATGAATGGAAACATCCACTTATCGCTGTGTTTGATGATTTTGGACATCGAAGTGGAAAAAGTACCACTAACGACTCACTATTCATCTTTTATAATTGTATCAGCAATACTAATTCAGATTGAATTTAATGTGGATCATACATGAATAAAGTAAAATTCTTTGATAGAAATAGCAGTTTGACATTAAGGCTGTTGATAAGGTCTAAGGAGGCCACAATCAGTGTCTTTGCTGGTGTTGTGTCACGCCCCACAAAGATTGAGCTCAGACACCAGAAGTAGAGCAGGACCCTCAGAGGGTTTCAATTGTTATTTTTCTAAGAGTTAACCGTCGTTGTAAACTCACTATCAAATATAAAATCTTGACCCTTCAAGTGACAAAATGTATAAAGAACCTAGTTCGTACGACCTGCTGATTACAAATGTCGCTGATGCTGATGAAGGAGTTTGCTATTGTGGAATTATGGAGAATCAGAAAAAATTGAACATATTACACCAGGAGATGGTTGCAGGTGCAACAACATCACAACAAGGCTCACCATCAGTAAGTACCGTTTCTATTTTCTGTTACTATCTTGTGCAATGATTTGAACCATCTACTAATACAAGGTGGCGTGCTGCGCTTAACATTCTATTTCATCCCAGTTCTGGTAAACGTTTTCATTTTAACCCTCTAACATGCCACACATTTTTTACTGATTATCCTCAGTCATAGGTTATACTAACTAGAGGAAGTGCAGTGAACTAAGTTGGCTCTTGAACTAAGTTTAGCTATGTGATGCCTAATTGAAGCAATTTTCAAATCTTTCTTAAAGTGTCATCCAAACTATCTGTGAAAAAAAGCATTATTTATGGTTGTTATTGCTCTGAAGAAATTAAGTAGCTGTTTTCCCGTGCTTTTTTCAAAAGCTTTTTTATGTCGGCCGACCACAGAAGTTTTTGTTTAGTTTTTCAGTTTTTTCAATCCGCCTCTGCTTTTATTGTCCCCCCACCTTCATTTATTTTTTTCTGAAATTCGTCTTCCACTCACTATGAAGGGCAAGGACAGCCACATGTCACTGGTGAGGTCTACGCATTTACAGGAAACGTGCTCTACCTTGAAAGCCAGCGGGTCAAGGGGAGGGTCGGGCCTACAGAAAGCGCAAAACCACAACATGTTTCCTCTCGTATAGGTAAGAGGCTCTCAGAATAGTCATTCCTCCCAGCTACTTGCAAAAAAGACTTCAAGACCTGTTGATGTGCTCTTTGAAGGCATGACGATTGGAACACATAGATGCTTTCAAAGAAACTTTCCAAAAATAACTGAGGTCAGCTTTAAGATAAACTCTTCCTTTAAATTAAGTCATGCATTTTCTCTTTAAAGGCACATGCTTAGTTGCCATGGTGGATTAGCGACCTGTCTGAAAGTGATAGAGTGATGGAGTCAGGTGGCATTTTGCCAAATTAAAGGCGTTACTCGCTCAGCTTCAAGTTCGAAGTAGTGCGAAAGGAAGCTGATTTTTGTCTTTCGTTGAAATACTCCTGACCTCTTGTGGAGACGACAGGAAAATGCCAGGAGGAAAGTCCAAAGACATTTGAACCCAAGTTGAGCCCAAAAGTCCAAACTACCTCTAAATCTTAATAACC